TCTCTCTCTCTCCTCTCTCTCTCTCATCTCTCATCTCCTCTCTCTCTCTCTCTCTCTCTCTCTCCTCTCTCTCTCTCTCCTCTCTCTCTCTCTCTCTCTCTCTCTGCTCTCTCTCTCTCTCTCTCTCTCTCTGCTGAGTTGCGCGAGTGAAGCAACATGCAAACATGCAACTTTTGAAGGACCCGACATGATGCGTCACTAAAACATTATATTATGCACGTCTAAAACAGATTTGTTGCAATAACCTTAGACCATCGAACCTACAGATGCACGTTACCGAGAGCTACTCCGACAAACAAAATAGTATTCCGTCATAATGACGAGAACACGATTATTAACATTCAATATGCAACTTTCAACATGACATTCAATGACGTGGCAAGATTCTTGACATTCCAGCACTGCTCATCTAAATCACGCTTTTCGCCAGACTGAAAAGTTAAGTATTTTCGCTTGAAGTGAAAGGGGTGGGCACCTGAAGACTGACACCAGGGGTGGAAATGTACCTTTACTGTCACCGACGAACTTCACAAGCGTCCAAACTGTCACCTAAAGCCAAATATATCAGTAAAATAACTCAGTTGCAATGTGACCCTAAATACGAAAACCACAAAAACAAAGACAAATAGATACAACGCGACATAACCATCAAACATTTTCGCTTAAGGAGTTCATTTGCACTCATGACCGTTTGCTGGCCATCAAACACTAAATGGTGGTTGAGATTAAACCTAATCATCATATGATATAAACGCATACTTAGCATAACCAGCCCAGAGAAGCATAGTTTATAGTTTCCTATGCAGTTATTTCAGGGGGAGGATGTGTACCTCCTAAACAAGGGAGTAGTTTGTTTTTGTGTTTATAATTGGTATTCATTATCTTTATTTATCACCATTTTTACGGTTCAGCCCACACCCCAACACGTTTTTAAACACTGCGCACCTGGTCCTAGATCTGAAGAGAAAGTGCGTCAAATCTGGGGAGAAAACTGGTTGAAGTGCATCTTTGGAGGCAGGCTCAGTCATTTCTTTCCGCGCTTCCCCCTCCCTCATCTCTACGCATTTTGCGAGTCTGCATCCCTGTAGCCAGAAATTTACCGATAACATGGGTCCGCAAGCACCTGAAAACGGTGTCACTTTTGGTCTGGGACGTCGTGGTACAATCAGTTGGTAGCGTTGGCGACCTTCCCTATGTTAGCATAATCATAACCGCCACAGAACTCGCACTTAGCACCAGGCCCATGCTATATTGGTATCGGCAGGGGCACACGGCATTTCGAACACCTCTGTTACCTTCATTTAGCACCATATGCAAAACAGTAACAATTAAAAGCGTTTTATCTCACACTTGCCCATCTGTCACAACGCTGAACATGAGGTGAGATTGGCAGTGTGAGAGGCCTGCACCAGCGATGCTCGGCAATCGGCATCTTACCTCAAAGCTGCTGTTCCTCTCAGCAGCAGGAATTCCCAGATGAATTCTTGACATGCGTCGCTTCGGTTTCCTCCGTTGAACTCTGAAGCTACAGTTCGGGTATCTAACAACAGCAAGCCTCTTAGATCGGCAGTCCTATTTAACGTTATTACCAGGGACGCCCTCCGCGACAGATCCTGACAAAAGCCGCACAGCACCTTAAAAAAGTAACTGGCTATTAGCTACATTCTTCAAGTAAGCCAGCTTCTCGCGACATGAACAAAACAAACGGCGGCCACAGCCTTGCACTGAACGTGCACTGAACCTAATGCATAGCCGTGTGGCGAGCATTCGAACCCATCTGTCTCAAATGGCACGACGCTTCAAGACGCCGCATAGCAAGCTGACCTCGTTCGTCGCAAGATGCCGTGCCCAGCCACGATTCTTACGACTGGTGGTAAGCCCAGTTATTTGGTGCTTTACGCTGCTTAATGTGTGAAGCGAATAACTTTACACTGGTTAGTATGTGAAGTGAATGTTAACCTAGGAATCTGAGAAAAACACTGATCTGAGGGGCATTAGAAAAACACTGCGTCACCACTGATTTGTGACGTCAGCACTGATATAGTATGGCTTGTGGTATATTTCTGTCATCTACTAAAAACTATCCTGATTAAAGGTACCGTGTTTGACAACATATTGTGACTCAATCTGCTTATAAAGCAAAACGTCAGCATTTCGACATGTGCTCAACACACGCTCACGCTGCAAGCATTAGCGAGAACAGATCAATACTAAGCTTTAAGTGTCGTCTAGCTTGGATGGTATTGTGCAATGTGGTCTAGTCTGTTGTAATTTGCTTCTGTTTTCGTAATTTTGTCTCCAATTGGCTGGCATAATTGCCTGTTTTTATCACCGATCACATCCAGTAAGTGAGAAGCTTTAAAAACCCTTGACTCGTCCCACCTTAAGCATGCTGGATGGGAATTGAAAAATTGCACCTGAAATTTGTTAATGGCATTTCTGTTCATACCAAAACACATGCATATCCGTATTGGATGGATGCATGGGATGGCATGCCAATGCATAGGCGTTCACCATTCAAATCCAAGTGAAGGGTTGTCACCCCAAGACAAGGAACGAAGAAGTAAATAAATTCGAAAACGAAATAACGATCAGCCAAGGATACACATTTGCTGAGGTTCCGGAAATTCTGAACCAAAATAAAACTTTTTGTAATTCGTCGCATCCCATGGAACGTCTCGACAATGTAAGCATGCATGCACGTGTTTTACCAGATATACTCAGACGAATACACCCTAATGTGATAGGTCCCGCTCCGGTCGCACGCAATGAGCATCTCTGCCGTGTCCATTACGACTTCCCAGTCTCCCCACCAATCTCTTCCTCCGCTTACCTGACATGGACAGACGTCTCTCCCGACGTCCCACATCGAACGAGGAATCCCAATTCGATCACGACGAACCGACAGCCAGTAGCTGACACGGAATTTAGTGGCCTGGTGTATTCGGCGGCTGATGGATTATCAATTTACGAACAGCAGACCAGTGCGATAGTGAAGCACGCGCGTGCTTGTTTCTTCCTCAGCATCATGAAGCAATGTTACTAAGGAAGCTGCTGCCTGGGACGACCGTGGGCCACATGTGTGTAGGTGATTTCCTTCGGCGATGCGTGATGCTATCGGAAATGTTGCAGCAGTGAGCATTAGACAAACTGTGAATCATGGATCAGACTGGAACTGTGCGTTATCATAACATTGCGACAGCGCTTATCGTCAGAAATATAACGGTAGAGTTAGAGGCATGACTGGCTTGGAACTACTGGCACGCAGAATAAAGCGCTGTGATAAGCAACCGAGCAACAGAAAAACGGTGATAAACAACCCATATCCAAATGTAAGCCGTCATTTGAACTTTACACGGATGCACTTGTAAGCTGTATCAAAGGATGGTCAGGCTCGTTTTGTTAACCACGCCTTTCAGTGTTACCGTAAAGCACTGCATGGCTTTGAAAGTGCTTCAAAGATGCTTTGTAGCCATTTAGCATGCGCCCTCAGCATGTGGTGAGTTAACGGTTTAGTCTTTGCCACGACGGACTCGGCGACGGAGGCGTGATTTTGGCCTGATCAGCTGCTACGGGCCAGCGTCCATCACTGGGCACGGAAATGGGTCGTACGCACATAAAAGCCCCTGGAGCACGCATCCCCTTTACCAGATTGATGACATGTATCTGCATGTACGTAACTAGATGTTGACAGTCCAGGGTGGCACGTTAGTGTAAGACGTAGAACATGCGAATTATGTTTTGGGACGCAAACACTTTGCACTTCTGCGGTGCACCGGAATCGGTTTTCACTTAAAATTTTTAGGTTGTCACTCAGTTTGGGACGCGTAGAATAAAGCCGTCCATATGAAACCATCGAAACAATCGGTGTGGGCACGACTGTGTCGGTTTGTGCCATCAATGCGTGGATGCGCAACGAAACTTTGTAGCATTTTCAAGCAGCAAGTGTGTTTACAAACACCAGTAAATTATCCGCGTTTAATAACGACAGGCAGAGCCTGGCATGGGCGATACTTTGTAACGACCACGCTGCGCTGCAAGCAAGGATTGTTCGACAGCGCACCTTACGTCAGCAATAGGAAGCACGGGCAGTAAAAACGAGTTCATTTTGACGCGGGAAAACGTGTTCACGTGGGATGCTACCCCCCCCCAACCCCCATTTTCCCCGCCCCTGGAAAATCGCAGCAAAGTGCCGGGTGAGTGCCGTTTGAATGGTCTGGTGCATTCCACATCCACAAAGTCTAACAATAGCATGATGACGTTGATTGAAAATAAACTGAGGAACGAATCGCGTTAACCCCCAAAACTCTTCGGAGGATTCGTCATCATTGGAGGCGACTTCACCCATCGCCGACAGACCCCGGGGTGATAGGATGAGTCCGCTCAAAATTGATATCACTTGCGTGATATCATGTATGTCATGCTCGAAACTGCACTATTTTGCCTTCAGCCTCCAGCTCGACTCACTTGTTCTAGCTTGGTGGCGGTCGCACCTGTTCATGAAATTGAACCAGTAATAACGGAATGCAGCAGAACTGCCACGACCACGGGAGTAGTTTCAATTCATCAGGTGTGTTATGAACATCCTCCGCGCAAGCTCTCAAAAGTCCTGCGATACCAGCGACATGACGGCAGGACATCGCACGTGACACGACTCAGCGGGTGGCATTTCTGCATCTCTCCCAGTGCGTGCTCCAGCCGTTCCCGTCCGCTGCGCGCCGACCCCATGGCCCCCATCCGTTGTAGGGGCCATGGGCCGCCCGAGTCACAGCCAGTCTTCCCCGACGACAGCACGGCACAGCGTAAGGTCCCCGTCACGCTACATTGTGTTCGCGTTCAAGAATGGCGCTCCCATCGATCCTGAGGTGGTCAGCGCGGCGTCGCATCGGTTGGTTGTCATGGCAGCGGCCGCGCCGGCGCGCAACAGACCAGGCTGGCGAACTGAAACCTTGCCGGGGAAACACGCCCGCCCAGACTGTGTTTGATCGCGCGGTGGAGTTGGTGAAGTGGCGTGATGCTGACGCTAAAATAACAACCCGCCAACGGCCGTCGGCAAAGGTCTGTGGACTTCCTCTGATTAACGGTGACTTTAATCCAACACATTGTGCGACATTAACGGCTTTATAAGTGGCTTTCGTTTTGCGGTTGGGAATGCCAGCCCGCGGCGGGGTCGCTCAGCTTTATAACCGGAGACCACTATCCACTCCCGATCTGCAGTTAATTCAACATGCGCATCGTGGGCCTAAGATCAGAGATGTATTTGCTATTTAAAGGGGGACCTCAGCCCTTCCCCAAATTCGACTTCAGTCCTCCCAACTTTTGACAACTAGTGGACGAAATCCGAGGAAAAACTTGTTCGTTGGCATATTTTCGGGACAGACTGTTATTTTTCACTGTTCAGCGCCTCCCCCCAACTCATGCTGTGAAACTACTGTGACTAAGATTGCTTGGTGTTTCCGGCCTCCCCACTCAGCAGCAAATTAAGCGTGGCGTTGTGCATGCATACTGTTACCCCAAATTGGAGAAGTTGCAATTACTTTTTCTGATACTCGGTGCGGAGAGCGTAAAGACGATTGTTAGGGACGGATCCAGAGGGACGTAAAAGATACCCGAGGACGGCAAAGGGCCACTGCAAAAACCGAACCTTCATTTTAGAGCCACATGACCTTGATTTTCAAGAAGCACCAGTTCCCAGGTCACCACAATGCGGGAGCGGACCCATACAGTGAGCTAGAATCGCTTTTGAACTGGGGTGGGGAGTGAAATATTTCGTCGCAAAAAGACCGTACAGGAGTGAAAAATTTGATAAAAAAGCTTGAACATGTGGGTTAGTGAGAGACACCTCGACTATCAGTGACTATATTTTAAGTTGGCTTGGAAGTTATCTCATAAACATGAAAATGTTTTTGTTTTTATACATCTTAGGTCATTACACCGGCACATAATAAGTGAAGCAGCCTCGCAATAATGTGATGTTTGCCATGCAGCTTACAGTATTCCTGTGTTAAAGGGAATATTTCACATCTGAAGATATTGAAGCAGGCATCAGATATAATGAAACAAGCTGGCTTGACTATCGGCATACTTTTGAAGTCGAAAAGGCTGAGGTAGATAACCCAATACTCTGTTTAGTAAATATGCTCCTCAGTGCGTCATGGTTTGATTACGTTATCGTACTTTACACGGCATTGATTGAGAGCCAATAGCGCAGGCAGGAGGGAACGGGGGGGGGGGGGGGGGGTGGGAAGGTTCGGGGGCTGTGCCCCCTCCCACCTTTAGGTTCCGGGGGCCCTCTCGAACCCAGCGATCAAGGGCCCGAAAGACATGCCGGAGGTCGCATTCAGGGGCCCCGCCCCGCGGGGCCGGGGACTCCAATGCCAGCCAGAGGGTCCTATGCGCTGATAAGAGGCCCCCTGAGTTGATAAGGGCTTATAGGTCAGTCAGACACCACCAAATTGCAAAGTCACCTCCGTGGTGGCATGGGCCTGAGGACCCATTGCCCAGGCAAGGGCATCGCCGGAGCCAGTGATTTACATTGGTCGGAGTCCCGGCGTCTGTCAGAGGCCCACAACCGTAGGGTCGTGACCTGAAATATCGGTCAGAGGCCCTCTTGCGCCGCTTGAGGGCCCCCTGAGACCATGCGGATGTCTTAGTCGGCCAGATACCACTAACACTGATCAGTCGGCTCCATGTTCGTCTGAGCGCTTGAGACGAATTTCCCAAGCAGGAACGAGGTTGGGCTAGCGATTTGCAGTATCTGGGCAAGTGGCCCCGCCCCGGGTCGCAGCGGTGTTTGAGTGGGCCCGAAGAGGGGCCAAAAGGTCTCCAGGACCATAAAATGAATGGCCCGTTTAGAAGGCTGACGGGTCCGAAGAAGTTTTAGGTCGCTCTAGGACGCCACAAATGGTGCCGTGATCTAAAAATTCGGTAAGACGACCTCTTGCACCGATAGAGACCGCTCAGATAGGGCCTTTCTCTATATCGACCAGAAATCACCAGCAACGAACAGCCGGCTCCGTGTTTTTTTGTTTTTTTTTAGCTCTGGGGGCCCATTTCCCAAGTAGACAAGACCGGGCCCGCGATTTACATTGGTTGGAACTCCTGTATCGTTCAGGGGCACACAGTGCTAACAGGATAGCAGTGTGTGTGTCAACAACGGGTCTCAAATCGGTCGGGGTAAGATTTGATCAACAGGTGCGGCGACGGGAGCCCGAATGACAGAGGGCCTCCTGCGTTGGCTGGGGCGCTCTGAGAATGAAAGAAACGTGAGAACTTCTGGAGAGTGCTCACGTTGAAGTAATGAAAGGGTCCTGTGCCATTATTTGAACGGATGGAGGACCCACGTTCCATACTGGGGGCCCTCCAACCCAATTCCAGCATGGGCCCGTTAAGCCGAACTGGAGTCGATGTGCCAATTATCTGACCACCTTCAGCGATCAGGGACGTTGTCGCGTCAATGAGGGTTCCTGCATCGATCCGAGGTCGACTGCGCGGGTCAGAAGGTCTCCCGCGTCAAGGAGGGCGCCAATGTGATGTGGTGTATCCCTCAAAGCGCCCTCGGATTGGCCAGGGGATCCCGCCCCGTGCCGCTCGAATGAGGGCCGGAAGACACACCACGGTGGAAGAGAGTGACACAACAGCCCTTGAACGGAACAATGATGTGCCCGGTAGTGTCCTGCTCAAGGAGGCCCCTTTCCCGGAAATAAGGGGTCTCCATGTGAGTGGGGCGAGAAAAAAGTGGGGCGAAATGGGTTAAAGACGCACAAGAACTTCTCACGTTTCCCTGAGAACGTTCCTTATTTTGCAGAATCGACAAGCGAAATAAATAACACCAAAAAGTCTAAGCCTGCGCGCCGGGTGCCGATAACGTAGTGGCTCACGCACCTGCCTCAACTACTGCGCGTCTGGGAAACCAGAGGTACAGGGTTCGATTCCCCGCAGTGCCCGCCCTTCCTGCCAGGGTGAGAGGCCGGGGACACCACATGGCCTAAGGAGCTGAGTGCACCGTAAAGCCCCAATGACACGCTGGCAGTCTCCGGTAGCAAGGACAGCCATGACATGGGTTGCTTTTTCCGTAAAAAAACCAACGGCGTTGTACATTGCAAGCTGTAGTATCCGCTGGTCATGCTTGCAAAGCGGTCAAGTTCGGCGGGCATAGATAAGCGGCGACATCGAGTCAGGCGGGCATAGATAAGCGGCGGCATCGAGTCCGGCGGGCATAGATAAGCGGCGGCATCGAGTCCGGCGGGCATAGATAAGCGGCGGCATCCGCTCGTCAGTTGGCTGCTCCCCAATGGCAACCTAAGGGGACCGTGGCGACCTGAGAGGAGGCTAACCGTTCTTCAGAGCGCTAGATGGAACTGACAACAAGAGGAAAACTTGCTTCACGAGTATTTCCATGGTAGGAGAGTGTTCTTAGAAATATCTCGTAAACGGACGTTGTACGCGGTTCTGCTGCACCCTGCCTACGCCCAGACGCACCTGAGCTTGCCTGGTGACGATTGTTTTGTCACCATGCAGGCTCGGGTGTACCTGGCCAAACAGGCACTGGTATTTACTGAAAGCTGGAGCTGTTTCCTACGCAGTTTTCTCTGAACAATGACGGGACATACATTGGCATCAACTTGACCCAAGGAAACCATTGCTAACCCCAGCCTATTCTCGTTGTTATTGGACCTTACGACGATCTTATTTCCTTAAATGTAAAACAGCATCATATATGATACAGTTGATATAGTTGTAAAAGAGTATCAGCCTACGCCAGTTGGATGTACGCAGTTAAAAAGTGTGTACGCGCGTTCCATAGGTGTACGTTCGTCCTCTACCGAATCAAGTCAGCTGTGTTCAACTTGTTTAGCACTCTCCCGGCTGGCCGGTTAAACACCCTTTGCTCGGTTGGGGTCAATTTGTCCCACCTGAGGTTTTAGAAAATAGGAAAGCTAGGGACACTTATTTCGCAGGGTGCCTTGGTTTGTTCATGAACTTACTTGTGTCTCGATTTGACGTTCCTAGATCATGACATTCGGGCCAAATAAGGTCAAACGAGGTCAACTTCCAGATTGGTGTCCAAAGTGTACCCAGAATTTAGATACCTATTTAAGCTAAAGGTCACTGGTGCTTAATTAAAGTCATTTACCTTGTTTGACCTTTCGAAGGTTATGATGACCAAAAACATACAAGACCGCTTTGAGTTTTGCATTTGAATAAGTGTCAACGATAACATTAGGCAGTATGTTTTTGAAACCAAAATGTTGAATCCTTTTGAAATGATGACCTATTCTGACCCTTGGAAAGTCCATGGAATATGTATAATGCGGTTCATGTTGCCAATAAATTAAAAATGAACAACATAAACTACTCCATACATTAATCTGTAGATTAACATAACAGCTTGGTTTGACCTTGGCCCGATCCTGATACATAACCCTAAGTCAGAAGAATTTGTTCATTCATTTATTGTCTTATCTAAGAAAATACATCATATATGTATGGCTTCGTTGAATATTCCGTTGTTGCATCACGTCGAACGATTCGCTAGAAATTGTCTTCACTAAATCTATGTCCTGAATTTGACCTGTCATAGGGCAGTGACCTTGGAGGGTACATCTAAATATTTGATGCCGCATGATTCACTATTCAATTGTCTACAGCTATGCAAAATTTAGCGCGACTATGCCGTGCCTTCCGGGAACCATTCCGAAAAACCCTCGGGGCGATCAAATTGACCCCACCCGAGTGCGTGTTAAGGAAAGTGTGGAGGTTCGTCCTTCAGACAGCAGTGGTTCAAGTTGGTTATGCTGAAGCCGGGCCAAGTGAATGCTGGGTGGAGCGATTAACGCCCAAGGTAGACAGTTTCCCGAAAGCCTATTTTGTTTCGGGTTCGGTATTAGGGAGGATAAGTCGGAAATATGTATCAGGCGTCCCATCTGCATCATGCATTGATAAACTGCGAAACTGATCCATACACATGAAGCGAAGCATTTAGCGATCAGTTCGCGGTCATTCACCCGGAAAACAGCTAGTCTTGAGCAGCGGCTGCCGACGGCGGATGGGGACGG